GCCGGCTCCCGCGGGAAGGGAAGGGGCCAGTCCCGAATAGGGGAGGCCGGGCCCCCGAGTGATTCATCAGCAGACCGGGGTTCGCGCGCCCCGACTGGCGGGCGACGCCCAGCGCGCCCCACGGCCCCCACCCGTGCCGGTTCTCCCTGAAGCAGCCCCCAGCGTCCCGCTGTTCCTCGAGAGAGGCCCACAGCGTAGGAGACCTGAGCTAGTGCCTCTTCAGCCACCATGGCCGGTGCGACTCCCTGGCCATGCCTGCAGACGGACTTCCAGGAAAGCACCGGGCTGGGCTTACCTGACTGGTGCCCGCTGGGGCCGCCGACCTCTTTCACGGACCCGCGAGAACTGCCGGCCGTAAGCCGCTGCTCGGTTCCCCGGACCAGCCGGTCCGCCCNTAACTTCAGGTAAAGTAATTAATTACAGAGTAATTTGGACTAATGAGTATACCACAAAACTTAGGAATTAGTCATAAAAATATATGATTAAAGAAAATTGAAGTCAGTAGTATTCTCAAGAACTCATTTTGTTCCTTCATGCCTACCACAGGGCTTGGTACAATACATGTGGCCAATGTTTCCTGAATGAATGAAATAAATTAATTTTTTAAAATCAGAGATATCTAGGGCTGGGATAATCTTGGGATCATCTGGTCCAACAACCTCATTTTAAAGAAGAGCAAATGAGAAATCCTGAGAGGTGAAAAAGCAAGAAGCCTAAAGATTTAGAATATATTGGAACTCACATTTTAATTTCCTTTTTGTTCCTTTTGTAGGAATGTGTTACAAAGGGGATTCTAACTATCATAATAATTGTGGGTTCTTGAAGAAGAGATAAAGTAAAAAGGTGCCTAGGACTAGGAAGAAGAAACTAGCGAGAGTAAATGATCCTGGGCAAAGATATTTTTCTAAGCTTAATATATTTTTTACAAGCCAATTTAATCTGCTGAAAAATTAATCTAAAGGATTCTCAGAAAAAGAAACATGAACTGCATGAAAATGTTACAAACCAAGGGAGACTTCATATAACTTAAATCTTCACAGGCTTATTTCCTGTTGAAGTATGACCTCCTGGGGCAGGCTTTACTGCAGTATTCATTACCAGATGACTTGGATTCAAGAAGAGCCAAGTAAGGAAATGTGATTCTTAACTAAAAAATAAATAAACTGTGGCTGTTTCCCATTTCTGTTTGTAATAAGAAAGCAGGCTTGCGAAGGGAACACAGCAACCTCTGTAAGCAAAAATATAACGACCCAGTCACGTCCTCAAAACAAACACATAAACTTCGCAGCCGGATCCAGCTGTGCTGCACGGGAGCCAGGAATTCATTCTAAGACAGAGCAGATAGATCAAACGGCGAATGCCAGACGAGCCAGATTTCAATCACAAAAAGGGTGTGTGCCCCAAGTTTTTCCGCGCCCACACCCCCGTCCCCAACTTTCAACAAGTAGAAGTCTTAGAGTCTTGGTGAGAAAACCCTCCTAAGTTGATCGTCCCCAGACCTACCCCTGGGCGGGTGGAAGGAGCTCGCACGGTCGCAGCAGGCGCCGGCTCCCGCGGGAAGGGAAGGGGCCAGTCCCGAATAGGGGAGGCCGGGCCCCCGAGTGAT